GGTAAATTCTGATACGGATAAGTACAAGAAGAGCATTTCCTCCTGGATAGGGACGGATAGGGTCGGGAGAGTCCTGAGGTATTCCTTGATTCCAGCCAGGGCGTCTTCGCACCCCTGGCTTCACATATCCTTCCCAGCCCTCTTGATGGCTCCAAAAAAGGGTTTGCATTTGTCTGAGGAGCGTGAGATGAAACGGTTAAGTGTTGCCAGCATCCTTGTGAGCTTTTGGACTTCTCGGACAGTTCGGGGGCTCCGGATGTCTAGGATTGCTTGAATCTGATCCGGGTTAGCTTCGATTCCTCGCTGACTCACCAGATATCTGAGAAATTTACCCGACTCTACTCCGAAAACGCACTTTGCAGCGTTCAGCTTTAGCCCGTATTTCCTGAGGGTGGAGAAGGTATCTGTTAAATCTACCAGGTGGTCACAACTTCGTTTGCTCTTCACCAACATATCGTCAATGTAGACCTCCATGGTGTTGCCGATCTGCTTTTTGAACATCCGATTCATCAGTCTTTGGTATGTTGCCCTGACGTTCTTTAGCCCAAACGGCATCACTTTGTAACAGTAAACTCCCTTTGGAGTGATAAACGCCGTCTTTTCCTGATCCGGGGATGGAGAGGGATCTGGTGATATCCTGTTCGGGCATCCAAGAAGTCCATGCGTTCATATCCGGCAGTGGCATCTACTAGCTGGTCCACCTTTGGTAGGGGGTAGTCGTCCTTGGGACATGCCTTGTTTAGATCAGTGAAGTCTACGCAGACACGCCATTTTCTCCCCTTTTTTTTCGCGCAGACCGTGTTAGACAGCCATTCCGGGAACTGTACCTCCCAGATGGCATTGGCCTCTAGGAGTTTATCGATCTCTTCGTTGACCGCTCAGGCGTGGTGCGGGGGCATGCGTCATGGCTTTTGTTTTACTGGTTTGTGTGCCGGGTCAACATGCAGGTTGTGTGTGATTATTTCGGGGTCCACTCCCATTATTTTCATTGCGTTCCAAGCAAACACATCTGCATTTCCCCTCAGGAACTCAATCATCCCCTCCTGTTTGGTTATGGGCATCGCGGTTCCAACTAAGAAGTATCTTTCTTCTTCTCCTTCCACCAAGTGCACCTTTCGAAGGTCCTCCACCGACCGTTCAGTTGGGTCAATCCGAGGGTCATCCATCCTGGACGCCCGGACTGTGATTGCTATTTTTCTAGGATTTCTTCCGGAGCACGCCCCTTTTCTTGGGTGAAAGCCCCTGCTCTAACAGCTGAATAAAAACAATTCTTTGCTGACGCTTGGTCCCCTTGGATCTCCATGATCCCCTCTGGTGTGGCGAATTTCAGTTTCTGGTGATAAGTGGAGTGCACTGCTCCTAACGCATGCAGCCATGCTCGTCCCATGATCACATTGTAGGGAGAGTCCGTATCAATCATGACAAACTCGGTGTTGATGGTGAAGGGACCTATGACAACTAGCAATGTGATTTTGCCTATGGGCAGGGCAAACGAGCCGTTGAATCTATGAGGGGTGTCCTGTCCTTGGTGAGGTCCTTGTGGCCAAGACCCATCCGTTTTAAAGTGTCAGAGTACATCACTTCCGAGGAACTTTCGGAGTCTATCAACACCCTCTTGACGTCGAACTTGCCTATCTTTAGGGTTATGACAAGGGCGTCGTTATGAGGAGTCACCACGCCCGTCAAGTCCACGTCGGAGAACGTGATGCTCGGCTCGCCAATCCTAGCCCTTTTACTGGGCGGCCCCCCATCATTCTTGACTATCTTTCTTGTAAAAGCTACCCTCTTGAGATCGGACTCGAGTTCCTTGGACGTGAGGCGATCTAGCGGACATATATGGATCACATCTATGACGTTGTCCGGCTCCTCGGTCGGGACTGGGGTGCGTCTCTCTTGCGACTGGGGCTCTATATATTCTTTTAAGTATCCGTCTCGGACCAATCTTTCCAAGAAAGATTTGTTTATCCTGCAGCTGTCGGTGCGATAGCCGAAATCCCGATGATAGGAACACCTGACCTTTTGATCACGGGTGGAGGGATCGCTCTGCATCCTGGGCGGCCACTTGAAGAATGGCTCATGCTTGATCTTATGGAGCAACTTGTAGATGAGTTCTTTGAACATAGTATGAACTCCTTTGAATGACCCCCCCGGAGGGGGTAGCAGTCCCTTTCGGGAAGTATCCTCCTGCTCCCTCTCTTTTCTCTTAGATTGGAGGGTTCTGCCTTTACTGCTTCCCATCTCGTCCTCGATTCTAGAGTACTTGTTTATCCGGGCAATCAACTCACCTATATCCGAGGGAGTCTTTTTGGTCAGGGATCGGTACAGGTCTGTGTCCCTCGCCAAGCCGAGCCCGAAAGACGCCGCTGCCATGACTTCCGAGCAGCCCTCTACCTCATTAACCTCTTTCCAGTACTGGATGGCGTACTGGCGAAGGGTCTCGAATTCCCTCCGTCTGAGTGTTAGCAATGATCCAACGTCTTTAGGTCGCTTACTCCCCGTAATGAATCGAACCAGGAACTGCCTCGACAGTTCTTTCCATGATCCAATGCTGTTGGGGGGAAGCGCCTCAAACCACTTCATCGTAGAGTCTCCCAAGCTCATGGGAAACACTCGGTAGAGGAACCGTTAGTCTGAATGATACAGGGACATCATTTGCTTGTATTGCCTGAGGTGGGTTTCGGGATCGGACCGCCTATCATAGGTTTTGAACCTCGGCACGACGAACTTTTTTGGAACCTCCATCTCTCCGATATCCCTGGTAAAGGGTGTTTGTATGACCTCATCTTCGTCCTCATCATGGACAGCCTTACTCTTTCTCCTAGATTCCAACCGAGCTCTGAGATCAATTTTCTCCCCAACGGGATGTCTTCTGAAGTCTCCGAGTTCATCAATAGGTCCCCTATTTCCTGGGCGTCGTGTGGATAGGGTTGAATCATCCTCGGACTCATCTCCCTTCCTCCGTCTTGACAATCCTTGCCGGAGGTCGTCCAAGGCTAAAGGTCTTGCCTTCCTGGAATGGTTGTTAAGAGGGTGCTCGTTGGCTCTTGGTCGCTTTGGGGCCCTGGAGCTTTCTGCCTTGTTATTTAAATGATTCCTCAGATCCTTTGTTTCTACCTCCCGGGCGGGGAGTCCACGAGAAAGGAATGAGTCCCTCGACCCTTCGCTGGAGGCGGCGAATTCGTTGAGCCAGCTTAGGACATTCACATTGTCTTTCTCCAACTGTCATAATCGATCTCCAAACTTTTCTTCGATCACCTCCGCCAGTTGACGAGCCAAGGGGGCAGATCCTCCTGACCTGATGCCCATACTGGTTTGAGGAGTAAGCTCCCTTGATTGAATAGAGACGTTTTTGTTGTCATCAGCGTGACCCTTCCCTCCATTATGACGAGGAGCTTGTAAATCGAGACTTCTTTGCTGGGGACCTTTCTCTTTTTGTCGAGTATTCATCATGGTCACTGTTCTTTATAGAGAAGAAACTAGGAAAACTTGTTGTTTTCCACAGACGGTGCCAGATTGTGCGTGCATGATCTTGCACAATATAAACACGAGAACAGATCTCTCTCGTGGTGAACTCGAGTCAGTCAATCAAACGGTCACCCTAGGCTATTTGGAGCGGGCTGAGATCCGTTGGTGGCCTGAAAAGATAATGGGTGACTTTCGTGGATCAAAGGAACGGTCCAGTGAGGCTGAGGGATGTTCCTGGAATAGAGAAAGACAAGTTAGAAGGGCGCCGGAGTGTTTTCTGGCGTATTCCCTCCGACGATCAAGTCAATTTTTGAGAAAGAGGAAGAAGAAAACACTGAGTATAGATTTGAGAAAAGGTTTTTCTGTTGCATACCGTCTTGCCTTTTGCGAGGAGTATTTATACCTCAAAAACTCATGATTGCTGTCAGTGTGGTCAGTAGGTGATCATTAGATACGGACAACGTGCACACTGATTCCTATGAGGAATGTCTTTTCTCTTAACTGCTCGGGACCCCGAGCAACCAATGCTGCGTCATTGGCCTGCTGAATGTTTAATGAGCTCCTCTCGGCAAGGGTGTAATAAATGCTTAGTCTCAGGGACATTTATTACCATTCTCTTCCGAGTCTTATCGCATTAAATGCTATCTCATCAACGGAATGGTCTAATTAAATGCTTGCTTTCCCAAGTGGTGTGTCAGCAAGGGCATCAGGTCTTTTTGTCTCTGATGTGACACAATATGCCATGCGCCCATTCCCCATTGGCTATGTCTTCTGCCTTCCTGTGCCTTCTGAAACCAATTGTGTAAGACGAGATCATGATGACTAATCTAGCTTAGCCTAGGCTAGCGACCTGTACATCAATAGCCTGTGCAGGAGCAGAGAACGCCATCCTAGACGGTACATCTCGGTACCGAGGGGAGTGGTACATGCAGGGACCGATGTATCCCATATCCGCCCGAGGGATACGTGTCGGTACGTAAACGTACTGGGTGTCATTGATTCTTATGAATAGTACCTCGGGGGAAGAGGGACTTGTGATCCAACGGGTACATGTCGTGATTACAGTAATAAGAATTTACTGATGCCGATGACACGTGTTTTCATCTTGGAGTATTTGAAAATGTCCCATCAGATATCACCCATTTAGTATCTGATCTAATAGTCTATAAATGATGAAAATTGCTCTTTCATAATCATGGAAGAAAAATCTGAGTAGAGCTTTCAGCATATGTAGGGTAGCTACTGCATTTTCGGCAGCATAAGTTGAATGAAGGTGGGTTATATTAGAGGTCATGCTTTCTTTTTTCCTATAAACATGGTAAACTCAGCTGCAATTTCTCAAATATAAGATTCATTTTGATTGTGTAACCTAACTGGCTAGAGGAAGATTGTTAAGAAACCTATCGTCAGAGAGACGAGTAACTGGGTTGAGATTCTCCTCAGCTTGAATTGTAAATGTATCCTGACTAGCTTTTGTTTTGCTTGCTTCAGAGAAAATATGGAAGGATAGCACAAGGTAGTAAATGGAATTTTACTTCATATAGATGTGCCAAACGGAGGAGAACGTTTCCATCATCCAACTCCTGCAAAACCAAGATTAGAGGGAGATCACCTAAATCATGCATTATTGCATGCAATGCAATCACCTGAAGAGTAATCAATGCAACATTAAGAGGTAAACTACAGCTGGCATCCATGAACGTGGCCTTTATCAGATGAGAAGCTTTCCAATCTTCTGACTTCTGTCCGAACAAATACCCTATCAGAAAATAGGCTATGAGATGATGTTACATATTTCTCATTCTTGTAATCAAGCATACCTCATGTGTGAAAGCTAAAAGAAGGGGTCAGTAAATTTCTTGGCCACTTGTCCGACGCCATCAAGATCCGGCACCTATCTGGTTGATACTCTTAAAATAATTTCCTAGGACCTGATCAAAATTTCCAAAGAAAATAACGGACAACACAAGTTTTTTGAGAAGCACTGAAATCTGAAGAGCTCCAGTGACGGACATCTGTTTCACAAATGCATCGCCACTAAAGACTATGATCAAGAGCAATCATGGTTCTAAATAATGGTAACGGTCACCGTAACGGTAACGGTAATATTATAACGAACGCGGGATGAAACGGGAGTTACGTAACGGTAACGGAAACCGAATACGTGAATTTTTTTTTCCAACTCACAACCTACCATAAAACATGAATATTTACATGTTTCAACTTAAAATCATGCAAATATGGGTGTTTAGTGATTTAGTGCATTTTATTATATCATAAATATAATAATAAAATATTATAAGTATTAATAATATTTCTTAAGTCACTATGCATCAATGACCTTTCCATTAGCAGCAATTGAACAAATAAAATGCACAATTACAAATCTAACAATTTATTAAATGAAACATATTGATAAAACCAAAATGATTTTTAGAATTGTACACTACAATAAAAAAGAGAAAGCAATAGCATTACCTTTCAACAATCTCACCACAAAAAAGAACGACGCGGAGGATCCAAACTTTAAGATTGAGATTGATCTTGGTTACTTCCACTATCATCATTCCATCATGTGGGCAACATATAAGTAAATGTTCCAAATTCAACTCCATCTTCTCATGACTGCTCTCCATATGTATGCAATGTCAAGTAATTGTTAGGGTTCAAAAGCCCTAACGAATTATCTTGGGGATGTAACGGTGGAGGGTAGTGTTGAGGAGAATAACTATAAGGGTAGGGTCTATAATTTTCAGCTGGATAGCCTGATGATTGATAGTTTTCATTACCACTACCATATGATGAATCACTAAGAGTGAGATCACTCAAACTCCACATAACACTAGACGAGGAATCTTCATATTCATACTAATTTCTCGTATTTCTGCTTGATTTTTTTTCCATGCCGTGATTCTTGACCATAAGCTTCTGGATCAACTCTAACTACACTAAGTCCATGATCCCCGCGAAACGGTGAATCATGATAATGACCACTAGTATCACCTTGAGCTGGAAGATTATCCTCACAATTATAACCATAAATTTGGGTTAGACTAGCAACCCGATGACCTCCATCACCATCACCGCAACCACCACCACCACCATCATCATCATCATTGCTACTACCACCACCATTATCGCTTTCAGTCGACACACGACTAGAATCAGAGCCTTGGTTATCAAATGACTCAGAAAGATGTATGCATTCATTATCATCATCTTCACCAAAAGAATTCATCCAAGAGCGAGTTTCCTTATCCAATGGCATCAATGGTTCTTCCTTTTCTTCTAACCATGGATTCAAGGGATCATCTTCATGAAATATGTAATCAAAATTGATAGGATTAAAACTATTCTCAATCTCTTGCTGGTTCTTTCGTACAGTATGCCTAATTTTCAATTTCATATTATAGTGAATGAAAACAAGCTTTTGGAGTTTAGCATATTTCAACCTATTTCTTGTCTTGGTGTGAATAAGACTCCATGTGCTCTAATTACGCTCACAACTAGAAGATGAAGTAGTCTGACTTAGTACCTTAATTGCTATACTTTGAAGCTTAGGAGCACATGAGCCATAAAGAATCCACCATTCAGCTGCATAAAATAAATTTTTATGAATTCACATATGAATAAATATACATTGACTACATATTATAAATTGTAATTTAGCTTACCAGGATTTGTTTTGTTAATTGCTGCTTGCGCAATATTTGATCCAAATGTTTCTGCTTTATCCCGAAACAAAAACATTTACATACATTATAATTGTGAAAGAACGTGTATTAGATAACATGTCATTCAAATAATAAATAAAATTGTAAGTAAACAAGCATTGCATACCTGCTTTATTGCCTTAATCTGACATTCAATGTTCGGCTCCAATCTTTGTATTACTTTCTGCGTTCCATCCATTGTTTCTCGGAACGTCTCCCTAGAGCTGGTAGTAGTATATTGGAATTGTGGATTCAAGAAGTAACCTACTTATATATAAATATTAATTTTTAGTTCATTATGACTACTTATTTATCCACACACATAACATGTAAATTTCATAAAAGTAATGAAAACATAACTTTGTAGTCCATACTTACCAGCAACATGCAAATCATGATGTAACTGAACAGACCACCGACGATCAATAATCTTCCAATAGTCAACCCAATATCGAGAATCTTTTTTAATAGCCAACTTTGCTCGATCCATTGCTTCATATATAAAACTCTTTGTAGGTTTCTCATCTCCATCTACTAACCTTAACACCCTAACCAATGACTCTTGAACATTCAAAACTTCATTACCTCTCTTCCAAAAGTCTTTACCCATAATCAAAATTTTCACGTCACTAGGAGGACCGGTTTCATCTTCCCAAAACTAGTTGCCTTATAGTCATCAGAAGTGAACAAAGCCTTTAGGTTATCTTTCTGCCTAATAATACTCTCAAGTGCAATGAAATTTGTGACAAATCTGGTAATTGAAAGGAGTAACAATTCTTTACCATTTATATATTTTTTCATCAAATGGTATACCATTGGATAATTGTAAATGAAGCTTGTGATAGACTTTGCATCATCTAGGACCTTTGCAACATATTTTTTTTTTTAAATGTCCTCTAGTATAAGATCAATACAATGTGCCGCACACACTGTCCAACACAAACATGGTCTTTTCTCCATCAACTTCTTTCCAACAGCCTTAAGAGCTGTTTCATTGTCAGTCACTATCTGGATAATATATTATTGTCCAATCTCTTTAACAACCATATCTAACAAACGAAAATAGTAATCTGAAGTCCTACTTGCCACATTAGATGCATCAACAGACTTATGAAAAATTGTATCTTTATTACAATATATCAAGAAGTTGATGATGTGATCTCGTGTTTGACCAGTCCATCCATCACACATGATAGTAACTCCCCTCTCTTTCCATGTAGGCCGAAAAGACTTAATCCACTCCCTCATTGCATTGACTTCTTTATTCAAATATATCTCAGACACCTCATAAGAATTAGGACCTTTAACTCCTTTTCCTACTTCAGCAGCAACGTCAAGCATTGGTTGAGTCCAAGGAGACTCTGCTACATTAAAAGGCAAATGGTTATATAACATGAATTTGGAAAAAATATCTCCTTACCTTTCCTTTCTAATCTTTTGGTGATTTGAATTTATCTTTGGCTGCTTAGAACTTTTATTTCTAAGAAGATTAGGATCCATCTCCCTTAATCTAGCTTCAGGAGTATCATAATTAATCCAATGTCGAGCACTACCATCAACATCCTTCTCACAAACTGAATGAGATCGTCTTAACCTACCTCCATCTGTACCTCTAAAACTACCCCCACTATCAGAACTACCTCCCACGTTATACTGTGGCACATGTACACTTCTACGTCTGTGACTTTCTTCAAATTGATATTGTGCCACACTTTCTCTTCTCGCGAATGCCATCTCAGGATTAGAATCTGAATCATCACCCAAGTCCACATACCTAGGATCCCCAACCACGGTCTCCTTCAGATGGAATTCCAATTCTTCCCTCCTTTTTTGTTTATCTTTTCTCTTATCTTTACTTTCTTGAAGATGTTTCATCATCTGTTCCTTGACTTCTCGTGGCACATCGAGGCACGATGTTATATTACCTCTTTTTCCTGCCAAATGCTCTTTCACTTGTGTAATACCACCTTTAATGATTTTTTTACAAAACATATATACTGCATCATGTCTATTGGTAGCCATTGTCGCAAAGTTCCAACCAATATCATCACTGGGATTGCTTTGTGAACCTTCTACTGGGCCATGTCGAGGCATTTCCAATTCTATCACAAAAAAAGTATGCGTCATGTATGAATAATAAATCAATATATTAAATGGATTAACAAATTAATTTATAGTTATTTATTCTACCACATGTATGTTCTATGTACTCCAAATAAAATTAGTGAATGGTAAGACACACAGTGATACACAATCTTTATTTTAAATAATTAATGAATTATGAACCCTCAAAACATTCATTAAAATGATTAGTGCCTATACTAAAATTAGTTAATTGTAATTAAGGGTGTTAACTCTGACCCGTTGATACGAAACCGACACAAACGATTATAAAATTGACACGATTATTAAATACGCATAATAAATAATTTAGACTAATGTCTAATAATTAGAACACAATAATTTTTTTTTTGTGGATCTTGACTCTTGACACGAACATGACACGATTGACACCGTTAATTGTGATACACATGTAAACTCCATTAAAATAATTAATAATTTATATTAAAATTATTTAATTAAAAATTTGACCAAAAATATATCTGAAACACACAATTATAAATTTATAATATCTAAAGATCTAAAGAGATAAGATAACATTACGTCATTAAAAAGTAAAAAAAAATAAAAAATAAAAAAATAAAGGTGGTGAACTCACTGTCATTGCATCTATAAAAAAAAAAAAAGAGAATGAGACAATGGGTAAGTCAGTGGTGGATAAATCATTACATCCACAAAAAACAAAGACATAACAAAAAAAAAAAAAAAGAGGTTGTGGACCTGTGGTGGACTAGTAGGTAAGTCGGTGGTTGGTGGGTACTCTTAACTCTCTAACTCTAAGTCATTACATCCACAGAGAAAAGAAACCAAACCCAAAAAAAAAAAAAAAGCAACGACTTACCCCTAGGAGACGAGACCACGAT